TCAGCAGTGGTGTGAGCATCATCAGCAGTGGTGTGAGCATCAGCAGCGGTGGTGTGAGCATCAGCAGCGGTGGTGTGAGCATCAGCAGTGGTGTGAACATCAGCAGTGGTGTGAGCATCAGCAGTGCACCTGCAGGGTAGGGCGTGGGAGATGAGAGCAGGGAGGATCCGGAAGCCAGAGGCCAGTTCACCTGGTTTATTCTGTCAAACCACAGAGACCCTGACAAGATTGGCATCAAGGACTGACACCTGTTGTCGCCCTCTGACATCCACCTGTGTCATGAGGCGTGTACCTGCAATTACACATGCACAAATGCTTTGTGTGCATATTGTGAACACACGTGCATGCATAGTTGCATTGGTGGTTTTCACTTCCCTGGTGTGGAATTTTTTTTCTTTCATTTTTAAATTTTTTTTGAGACAGGATGTACCTGTGCAGCCCTGGCTGTCCTGGAACTCGCTGTGCAGACCAGGCTGGCCTCGAACTCACAGAGATCCATTTGCTTCTGCCTCCTGAGTGCTGGGTTTAAAGGCTTGTGCCACCCTGGCTGACCTCTTTCCTAATCTAGCATTTTAGCTATATATTCTGATTTATTTTTTATATACACCAAAAATACATTTTTTTCTGATTGTAAAGGTAGGCTATTCTCTATCCTGTACAGAATGTCACTTTCTGTGTTATGGACAGCTTTCCACCAACACGAATATATGGGATCATGTGTTTTTAGTATCCAAGTCATAGCCCAGAATTTAGAGGTATCATAATTTAATTGGTCTCTTATGGATGGGCATTTGTATGGTTTTCAAGTATATTTCCCTTGTTATAAACCACCCAGTAGAGAATCTATTTACTTATCTATCTTTTACCAATGAATTGTAAGTACCAATAAAGTAAATTGTTCAGAGTGGAATAGCTAGGTCAAGGGGGATATATATTCATTGTTAGATTTTTAATAGAGGTCGTCAGCTGTGTTCCACACTGACTGTAAAGGGGAAGAAAGATTGTATTACCTTTGTTGCACGCCTCCTGTGCTCTGCAGTGTGCTGAGGGGAATGTGAAATGAATGTTAGCACGTTTGCTGCCCTCCAGGAATATCCATGTATGCGCTGTACCTGATCCTAGGGAATGTCTGGGGTATCAGCTTGGGTGGGTGTGGGAGGAGGTGGATTAATTCAACTCCTCAGGCTTGCCTTGCAAGCGTCACGCACGGTGTCTGGCTGTTCTTGCACCCTCTCCATTCTCCTGGGTCACGTATGCAGTTTCTGTAGGGCGAGGACCTCACCCCACGTCTTAGGATCCGTGCCACACATCCTCCTCGCTTTCTAGAGGCTTCGTGGTTACATCGTGGCCAGGTGGTGTCTGAGGGTTCAGTTGAGGTGTTCCCTATTTGGGGTGTGTGAAAAATGAATAATAACTTTGCCATTCTCTGCAGGTCATGGAATATCAGCCTGGAGGGGATTTATTGTCACTTCTGAATAGATATGAGGACCAATTAGATGAAAATATGATTCAGTTTTACCTTGCTGAGCTGATTTTGGCTGTTCACAGCCTGCATCAGATGGGATATGTGCATCGGTAAGTGGGACCCCTAGGAGCACACTGAGAACTTTTCTGAGTCACACACCAGTCCCTGCATAGAAAATGAGTGACCGAGTGACTTCAGGGTCAGAAGAAAGTGTCATCTAGCCAGCCTGGCCTGTGATTGGCTAAAAGCTTTCCAAAATGTCTGGCGTCTAAGCAGTCCTTTCAGCCACGGAACAGAGCTAGGCCTGCAACGTGCCTGCTTTGCTAGTGAGATCTGGCTATCAGATGTAGCCGGCAGTATTGAAAACTCCTTTTTTCGGGTTTATAGCAGAGACCCCCTTTGGGTTTTTTTCTGCCTGGTAGAGGAACTGGCACATATCCTGGGGGGAGATGGTAATTAACAAAAGCTGTTTATCAAAGCCAGGCGGTAGTGGTGCATACCTTTAATTCAGATGGTTTTAATTTGAAACTACCTTCACGGCGCTTGTGTCTTGAAATGATCTGGTCTCGTGGGCTCTTCTTTCACTAACGGATCAATATATTGAGGGAGTCATACTTTGATGGTGTTTTATGGGGAGTCTGGTAACTGGGAGGAGGGGCTGAGTTGTGTTCTTGTTGATAAGCCGTGACCCGATGGTATCCGCTGGGTCCCCCTTCTACAGGTTCCACTGCCTCTCAGCCGTGTTACGCTGAGGTTGCACGCTTTTTACCGCCAGCGTTAGTAAATTGCTAAGATGTCCCACAGAAGTCTCTGTCCTCAGGAGTCTCTCCACATCCTTACTTCACCTCAGAATGGAGTAGAGATAGCAGATACAGATCGTACATATACAATTGTGGGGATGCAGAATTGGGGATAAAAGACTTTCCCATTTGTGAACCATATGACCTCCGGTTAGGTCCTTAGGTTATTTTTGGTCTTTGTTTTTGAAATATAAAAATGTGAGCCTCTAGTAGAAATAACCCATCTCAAGCTTTACGTTTGCTTCTTCTCCCTCCCTTTTAAGAAAATTAAATTTATTTTTCAAGATGGGTGCTAATCATTCCTACCTACCAGTAGGGAAGGATGATGCAAAAACTGAGGTTTTTGGCTGAATTGCAGCCTGAGGTTGGTAACTGCTTGTTGATTGACAGAAAGACAGTGCTCATTAAGGCCTTGACTTTCTTACAGAGACATCAAACCTGAGAACATCCTCATTGACCGGACGGGACACATCAAGCTGGTGGATTTTGGATCAGCTGCTAAAATGAATTCAAATAAGGTGATTAGAAAACGCAGGAGCTACCTTGGGGGTCGCACTGAAGAGCACTCTGTGGCCCTCGAGAACCTGGCAGATGTTAGGGTACAGTGGTGGGCAGCATTTTGGGACCTCATCAGTCAATGTTTGACTCTTGTAGGGAGTGGGGCAGGGGTCGGGGTGCAGAGATGGTCCCCAGACAGCGATGCCCAAGGTACCTGCTCATACATTGTCAACTGTCTATATGAGTAATCTTACATTTTCACTAAAAAAAAGGAAAATGTTCATTTTATTTCCCCTTACCTCTTACAGAGACTGTTTTCTGTTACATCACTTTGGTTTACTTTAAAATATGTTGATGATACATGACCTTCTTTTTCTTAAAAGCTCTCCACATGCAGAAAAATTGAAATTAGTCACTAGAGAATCTGAACTCAACATCTTGTAGTGTCAAGAACTGATATTCAAAATGACATTTTCAAGTCTTGGACTTTTGGTAAAAATTAAATTGTGTTCCACACACTGATTAGGAAGCAAGGAGAGGAGCAGATCAACACCGAGCCTACTCTGAAGGAAGGTGATAAAGTTACAAAGGAGAATGTAAAATCCTCTAATCCAGTTGACTCTTGCTAACATGTGAATTCCAAGGTCGGTTGTAGAAAAGGTCGGTCTGAGGGAAACGTTGGTCGCCTGCTTAAGCGTTTAGCCTGATTTCACTGCTGAGTTACTCGGTGACTCAGGCAAATCCTGAGGAGCTCGGCTGTTCATCCTTTCTGTAGAAGACACAGATTCTACTTAAAATGCATAAAGTCGGAGCCCGGAGAAAGCGCTCTTCGAATACCTCCCAGGTCTGAGCCTTAAGTCCTTTATATGAAGGACAATATGTAAAATTACTTTTTCATCCCCAGACTCCTCTGGGAAAGGTGGATATTATTAGGTTGGTATTAGGAAAAGGCTTAGAGCTGTGTTAGTTCTGTGCACTTTGGAATCTGGCCTGTGTGTTCTGCAGCCCTGAGAACTTCTTGAGGCGACGTACTTGGCATTTAGGTTGTTAGAGGAACAGGATCTCGGTGCAGTCCCAACTCAGTTCCAGCATTACTTTCTCCCCTTTACGAAAAAGATTTATTAATATTTTTGTTTGTGTGTCTGTGTCATTGTGAGTGTGTGTCACATGTGTGCATGACTGAGGAGGCCAGAAGAGGGCGACAGACAGACTCCCTGAAGCTGAAGTTACTGGGTGTCGTGAGCTGCCAGGTATGGGGGAGGATCAAACTTGGGTTCTCCAGAAGAGCAGCAAATGCTAACATTGAGCCATCTCTCCAGCCCCACCAGCCCCACAGGCGATATTCTTATAATTTACTCATTTAATCATCATATTAAGAATTGTGAAATCAGGCTGGTGAGATGGTTCAGTATGTTAAGGCACACACTGTCAGCTGATAAACTGAGTGATCCTGGGCACACATGGAAGAAGGAAGAACACTCAGCTCACTTGCAAGATTGTCTTCTGACATCCACATGTGTGTGATGGCGTGTGCACACACACACAAAATAAATTAATAAAAATCATAAAAAATTTTTAAAAATTAAAGAATTATAATTTTTATATTTAAAGGTTTTATATAAAAATATTTATATAATTTATAGAAAAATTTTAAAGAATTATAGAATTAAATCATTTTATATTTTAAATTCCAAAATAAAGGGCATCAAGGATTTTTGGAAAAACCTCAGGAAGCATTTTATTTTCTATGTTTATAGAAATCTGTATATAATAAAAAAAATCCGTATATAATACTTAAAAAAAAATTAGCCAGATGGTGGTGTCGCATGCCTTAATTCCGTGCCTTTGAGAGTCAGAGGAAGGTGGATCTCTGTGAATTTGAGGCCAGCCTGGTCTACAGAGTGAGTTTCAGGACAGATATAGCAACACAGAGAAATCCTGTCTTGTAAACCACCCACCCTCAAAAGAAAATAAATAAAAAATAAAAATGAATGTGTGTTGAGGGTCTAGCTCAGCCATAGAGAATTCTCTTTGGATGGGATGAGTCACTGAGTTCTTCCTTCCCACCCCAAGTCATGTGTAACCCAGAAGCAGATATGAAAGCCCAGGCATTGAATTTAATGGAGTAATGCTCAGGGGATAAATGAAATAGCATAAAACTTTTGTGGGGTCCAGAAACTCACAAACTGTTCGTGACATTAATAAAAGAGTTAGAATATAGGTTTATAGTCTGCCAGTGTTGCCTCTCGCCATTGCCATTTGGGTTTGGGGAGCTGTGCTGTGCATTGCTGGATGTTTAACTCGATCTTTGATCTCTACCCACGAGATCCAACTACCACCCTCTGCTCAGTTATGACAGCCCCAAGTGTCTCCAGCACTCCCATAGTGCCCTGGGGTGGAGGGAGAAGACCACCCTGGGTTGAGAATGACAACTGTAGATTGAAAAGCACCGGAGAAATAATTAGAGTTGGCAATATGTGTCTGCAGTAAGAAAAGTCCACGGGAAAAAGTAGATGATGATTTCTCTCATCTGCTCCGTAGGTACAGAGCAGTGGAGAGAAGGCCCTGGGCTGGGAACGACAGCTTATGCTTTAATGCCAGTACCCAGGACGCAGACACAGAAGGATCTCCGTGAGTTAGAGATCAGCCTGGTCTACATAGTGAGTTCTGGGCTAGCCAGAGCTACAGAGTGAGTGCTTGTCAACACACACACACACACACACACACACACACACACACATACACACATACATACACACACACACACACATACACACACACACATACATACACACACACATACACACACACATACATACACACACACATACACACATACATACACACACACACATACACACACACACACATACATACACATACACACACATACACACCTCCCTCCAGGAAGCTGGAGTCACTCTCGTTAGAGCTTTCTTCATTTCAAGTCTTCATCTTGTAGTGCTTCAAATCGCCTTCTTGAGTTCTAATTGTAGCAGCCTTCGCCCCAGGCGGGAGCCGCTTGGGTTCACTTGGCCAAGGAGCCAGGACGCTCAGACACACTGGAGCCTGTTTTCTCCTCCCTGTGCTTTTCAGGCCAGAGCGCGGAAAGCAGATGAGGACAAATTTAACAAGTTTTTAGTTTTTAATTTCTGTGTGCATATGTGTGAGTGTCTGTGTGTGTGTGTGTGTGTGTGTGTGTGTGTGCTCACGCCCGCATGCACAAGAGTGTGTGTATGTGCAAGCGTGCGTGTGCATGTGCATATGTGCTTGCATGTGCGTGCACATGTGGAAGTTAGGATAACCTCCAGGGCCACTCCATGTCTTGCTTGTTTGATCTGGGTTCTCTTCGTGGCTGTGAGGCTGGCCGACCTGTGGGTTCCTGGGGACTCTGCCCTGCACTTCCTGGTAGCAGGTGCTCAACTGTGTGTGGATTCTAGATGCAGAATTCAGGCTCTTCCGCTTACAGTGCAAGCGCTTTACCCACCAGAGTCTCCCCAGCCCCTTTCGCGGTGTTTGAAATGTAAAGGTCTTTTTATTGCAGAAGAACAGCAATTCACAACCCAGATGTAGTGTGGGTATAGGGTTAGATATTATTTCGTCTTTTTGATTAATCGTGAGCAGACAGCAGAATGTGTTTGTGTTGGACAGACATAGGTTCTCCGTGTTTTCTGTACTATAGAAATACAGTCTGGGCTGTGGAGATGGCTCATTTGGTAAAGTTGCCTGTCTGGTCGGCATGAGACCACAAGCTCAATCCCACGTGAGATTGCAGAGCTGGGTAGGCCGGGACAGATAGCTCTCTGGGGTCAGTTGGTCAGCCAGCCTGGTTGAAGCAGTGAGCTCCAGGTTCAGCAAGAGATACCGTCTCAAAAATCAAGGCGGAGGGATGACAAGATGTCTCAGCAGGTGTTTGCCGCCTTATCTGAGTTCTATCCCTAGGGCACTCTTGGGGAAAGGAGAACACTGCACGTTGTCTGTCATGTGACCCCCACACCCTCGGTGCTGGCGTGTTTGTGTGTATGGGGATGCACAAAAAAAAATTAAGGTGGAAAGTGATTGAGGAGGGTACCCAAGTTGTCCTGTGGCTCTACTCACACATGCGCGCACGTGCCCCCCAGTCCATATTTGGGGAACTCATTGCATATTCCCCTAAGTCCTCTGACCTCCTTTCATTCCCTTTGCATTTTGGATATTTGTGAGATTTCCACGAGATTAGTTTTTTTTCCCATTCCTGTTGTTTTTATTTCAAGCTTCTTATTCAAAAGGTAACTTTAGTGTATTTTACCGTTGTCAGCAGGACCATGTGCCTAGTGACCTCAGGACCCTCGGTGTGACTTGTACCCACCTCCCTAATTAGAATCTCAGAGAAGGGCCAACAGCTGACCCGTCTCTTCTGGTTCTCGGGAAACTAATTATGAAGGTTTGTCAGGAGAGTGGAGTCTGTGTCCCAGTCACCTCTTAGGGACTGGAGACCCAGAGCAAAGACTGCCCCATTCCTGTAATTCCTGTTCTCTCTTGTGTATTTATAGACACACACACACACACACACACACACACACACACAATATAGACATACAGAATCATCCTGTGTCTCTGCCCTCTCTTATCCATCCACCCCCTCTGTCAGGCCCACACTCTGCTAATGTAGATTTCCCTAAATCCAGAACTTAAATCAAAATAAACACCTACTTCTGCAAGTGTATGTGTGCGCGTGTGTGCGCGTGTTCATGTGTGCATGTGCGTGTGTGTGTGTTTGTGTGTACATACTAGGAGGGAAAATTGTTTAAATAGTTTCACATTTCAGCCTTTTATAGTGGTTTGAGAAGACGAGAATTGTTTCACTTCCATATTTTACTTTAAATATTTATTTAAAAATATTGTATATGTGTGTGGTGATGAGCATATATGAGCACAGTTCCTGCAGAGTCTGGGAGAGAACGCTGGATTCCCCCAGAGCTGGGTTACAGGTGGTTGTGAGTCTCCTGATATGGGTTGTTAGAAATCAAACTCAGATTCTCTGCAGGATCATCACATGTTCTTAACCATGAAGCCGTCTCTCCCGCTCCCTATATAGCTGTCTGTCTGTTTGTCTGTCTGTCAGTCTGTCTATCTATCTATCTATCTATCTATCTATCTATCTATCTATCTATCT